CCCGAGGCAGGGCTCAGGATTGCTGCACATCTATCTCCAGGCCGGGGGCGCACGAAGCCACGGCCCACACATGCACACGGCCACCACGTCACCTTTCTTCTTCCTCTTGACCTTCTTTCCCGGGTCCTTCTTCAGCCGCTTCCGCTTCTGGCTCTTCCCGCCCCTCACTCTCTTGTTTCTGTCCTGCGTGGGCTCCTTGTCCACCTCAACCTGCTCCTCCTGGTCGGCCGAGACCTCAGGGGCCGATCGCGCGTCTCCCCAAAGACTCAGTCTGTTATTGCCTGGAAATAACCACCGGAGGGTCACGAGGAAGCCTTGACACTCCAATCCAGGAATGGGCTGGTTCTGCACGGGTCTATTTTGCGGGTGAACTCCCAGCATACGTACCTCCACCACCGAATGGCATGGGGTGCTTGGTCAGAAAGGTCTGGAGCCTCACTGTGAGCCCATTTTCCGAGGCCATGTTCTCCTGAAAGGCAAGGGAGCACCAGCATGGGTGAGACGCCCGAGCGAGGATGGAACCGTAAAGGCAGTGAACTACGCGTGTGTCTAACAGAGTGGGCTTCTAATAGAGTGGGCTTCGGGGCAGGACGCTCCTGCACACCCACCACTCCCCAACAGAGGGCAACCTCGTCACGCCATCGAGAACTCCACTGGGCAGACAGGCTGTTCAGGGGCGTGGCCCACCTCCCCAAACAAGGGACCAGTGCCAGCTTCTGGTTAGTTCTGCTTTCCCCATTCAGAAGCTGTGAGGCCGGAGAGGGGCAGCAGAAGGGGGGCCCCCGAGCACCCACCTTTTTTGCTTTATTGATGATGTAGCTGGTCCAGATCCAATTGCGCTTGAGGTGTCCGTAGAAACTGGAATCCAGCCCGGCAGCTCCCAGCCCATCTCCAGGGATCACGCCCTCGTCCACGACCTCACGGCTGCCCCTGAGACGAGGAAAGACCAAACACACAGTAAGAGCTCTCCTTGGGGCCCGGAGGGCACGCGGCAGGAGGGACATTCATTTCCCAGAGGGACTCGGGAGGGACTCCGGAGGGGCTGAGGTGAAGAGTCTGGGAGCCCTGATGCTGACCCGAGATGTACGAATTTAGATTTTCATGTTTTTGAATGTTGGCAACGGATTCCATTTTTATTGAACACCATGTGGGCCATATAAAGCACGCAGAGAAGCCAGCCTTAGCCTGGCAGAGGGCCACGTGGGGCACTCTACTATAGCTCAGGCAGCGTCCCGGGCACAGGGACCTACACAGTGTATTCTGCCATGGCCCAGGCGGAGACCAGGTGCGGGGACCCACATGGTGCACTCCCTCCCGGCCCAGGCGGGGACCCACATGGTGCACTCCCTCCCGGCCCAGGCGGGGACCCACGTGGTGTACTCCATCATGGCGCATTTGCGCTCCAGGTTGTGCTTGTCAATAGCGTTCTCCTGCTCCTTCTGCAGGCTGCCCTCCTCGTCGCTGCCCGCGTCCTGGTTGCTGGTCTTCTTGGGGCGTGGGTTGCGCACCACCCCTGGAAAACCAAGCACAGGCCGATCGCTGACCCTCTCTCTTCTGCAGGGTCAGGGGAGAACGACTTTCGGGTGGGCAGGCTTCCTCACAGGTGAGAGGGCCTGAGACGGTACAGCCTCTCAGCAGAAAACACCACACAAGCCTGCTAGAAGGGGGTGAACCTGAGAGGGGTCTGTACAGAATGGGACCACCCCCCTCCCAACCCAGGAAATTGGACCCCCAGAAGAATGCACCCCTGTGTGCCTACAGCAGGGAGCAGCTGGCAGAAAGGACTGCAGGTGAGGGGGTGGGGAGGGGGTTGGGAAGGATCAGGCCACTTGGGGATGATGTCACAGCTGGATGCTTTCCCCAGCGGCCACATGTGTGCTGCTGGAGTGGAGCAGGTCTGGCATTACGAGCAAACATTAAAAGTTGTGTTTCATGTGTGAAAATCCAACGTCCAGCTAAGACCACTGCTTGAATAAGGCACAGAAAAGTGACGATCGTTTGTGGGCTGTCAGAGTCCCGCTTGCTGCATGCTGAGACCCTGGGCTATGCGCATGGTCCGGGGAAGGCACAGGGCAGTGAGAATTCAGCTCTCCCCTTCTCTCCTCCCCTCGCTGGAGCATCTAGTTCAGGCTTCCCCTCGGCCCGCGCGGCAGTGCCCATGCTTCCAGCTTAGAGATGCAGGGAGGTTACAAATAGCTTGCCCAAGCCCATCATTTGAAACCAGAGTTGAAACTACGAGCCTGCTGCAGGTAAAGACTCTCAGGTGCAAGAACAGCTGCACCACGCGGTTGCTCGTTATAAATGCAGATTTACAGGCGAACCAGCGGCTGGCCCAAATCGGAATTGCTGTTAGGCCCAGTGGTCAGAATTTTAGAATGTTCTCCAGGGGATGCTGGTTCACAAAAATGTTTGGGGAGCCCCTGCTTGCTAGGATGCTTATGCTGACTGTGATAGGCTGCTTCTCCCAGGCCCTCGTGACACTTGCTGAATGAGTAGATAATCAGTGTTGGATTAATGAGCCCCCCCACATTACTGCCCACAAACACAGGCAGGGATGGAAATTCCCCACTTGTTGACCTCGAAGGCTCTGGGTCACATAGCAAGCTGGTTCACAGATCTTTATCTGGGTGTAACATGCAGGAGGATTAGGGCATGTTTCAAAACTGAAATGGTGGAAGTCTAGTGCTGGACGGAAGGCCGGGATTCTCTGAAACATGGATCTGAAAAGCAGCTGGACCAATGAAAGGTACTAAATGCCAGTTGCTCGTTACGCTGTTTGCAAAGACCCGTGCTCTGCTAAAAGTCAAAGTGCACTGCGCTTTCCCAGCTCTGACGGGAAGAACAGAACAGCTCCGGCCTGGGCACAAACCCAAAGAGGCAGGACCTGGGAGAGGCGGCGAGAACAGACTGGATGGAGGCTGGCTTCCAGACAGCAGGGTCAAAGGTTCCCTAGCTTCTATGGATGTACTAACCCCCCTCCCCACACCCGCACTCTCTAATAAACACGTGCACGCTGTCTACCGTGTCTCAGGAACCTTGCCAAAGCTCCTGTGCTCAAGAAGTTCACGAAAGGCAATAAGATGGGGCCAAGAAAGGTGCTGGGGAAGAGGGTAGAGAGGGCTCTCCGAGAGGGAAGGCCTGAAGTAGGAATGGCTGCCCGTGTGAGGTACGCAGATGAGAGGGCAGTAGAGGGGAAGAGGCCTTATCCCCCGAGCCCATTTCACCCAAGTCAATCAACAAGCCTTCTCTAAAATCTTGCTCTCACCTCTCCCCCTCGTTACTTCTTCACTGCTGCACCACACGCCGCTCCCTTAGAAAAGCTGTGCTCGACACAATGGATGGACGGATTGTGGTAAGAGTTGTATGAGCCCCCAATAAAATGATTTGCAAAGAAGAAGAAAAAAGAAAAGAAAAGAAAAGCTACAGTCCCTTCCTGCTTCCATTTCTGTTCCTTCTTCTGTTTACTTCCTGTACGGCAGCCAGGGTGACCTTTTAGCAACATAGAGATGTTGTCACTAACTTGATAAAACAATCTAGTGACTCAGAACAATTAGACAAATAACCGAATTTTAAAGATGGACAAAGAAATAAGTGCCTCTTCAAAGAAGGCATCCACATGGCCACAGTACCCATGAAAAGATGGGCAAAGCCGTGCCCCACTGGAGGAATGCAAACCGGGTCGACCAGATACCACTTCATACCCGTGAGAGTGGCCTTCACCAAGCAGGACACAGAAAACAGCAAGTGCTGCAGACACTGGCCTAACTCTAATCGTATGTTATCAAGCATCTAAGCTTCTGCGTTAAGAACTAGAACACAAGAGTAAAGGAGACCCAGAGTGGGCAGAAAATGGAGCCAAGAAGGATCGAACTGGAAATCAGCGATGGAAAAAGAGAGAAACAATGAAACCCAATCTGGTTCTTTGAGACTCCGGGCAGGCCCATCGAGAAATCGCCAACCCACGGAGGATGGGACTACCCTGGGGAATGGCTCGGCGTTTCCTCAAGCAATCAAGCAGCTTCGGATCCTGCAATCCCAGTGGCAGTGTGTTCCACTCTTCCTCAGTGCAAGAGGACTGGACGCCGGGATGCAAACAGATGTATGACCACAAGTGTGCGCTGCAGCACCACTGGCACCAGAAGATGGGAGCAAGCCAGGTATCCACGATCAGAGGGGTGGATGAACCAAAGGTGGTATGTCCACACAAGGGAATAGTATTTAGCCACGAAGAGGAAAGCTGCAACGTATGATGAGCCTTGGAGACAGGCTGAGTGAAACACCCACTACCACACCCACTGTCACAGCGGCAATTCCAACTCTCAGCGACCCTACAAGACACAACAGAACGTTTCTCCAGGGTTTCCGAGACTGCGAGTCATCTCGGGAGCAGAAAGCCTCATCTTGCTCCCACGGGAAGAGGCTAACCATTGGATTAGCAGCCCAATGCTTGGGCAACTCTGCCACCAGGGCTCCTTCCACCGAGGGGAGTCAGGCCCAGAAAGACAAACATTGCTTTGACCCTGCTTACACGAGACAGATAGTGATGATGGTTGCTTAACATGGTGAATGTAATGAGTTGTGTACTTCATATGATTAAAATAGCAATGTTTTTGATAAAATAAAATCTAAAATAATAATAATAATAAATACTCCAATGTTTTGGGCTTTTTTTTTGCTGTTCTTAGAATATAAAAACCAAAAAGAAAAGAATATAAAAACCACTCTTCACTGTCATGTAAGTCCTGCCCTGGAATGCTCCTCCCCTTTCAGATCTCAGCTCAGAAGTCTGGGCATCAGAGGGCATTTCTGACTACCCCATTCTAATCTCCTGGGCCCCCACCCTGCTTATTCCCCACCCAGCCTCCTGTTCAACACCCCGTCTTTCTCTGAGGGGAGGGAGGGGTGTGCTCTCACCTGCAAGGTGGAGGACGTGACCCACAGGAGAGACTGGAGATGGCTGGGGCTCACCCGTGTGTGGGACCCATTGCTATGGACTCAGGGACCACGCCAGGTCTTGGCGGCCCTGGGAAGAGCTGACCCCAAGCTGGCTGGCTCCAGTGTCCTCCAGCTGGAATGCCCCGGGATCCCCTGCAAATGGGGGGAGCAGAGGAGACGGTACCTAGCGGGGTGTTGAGGCAGACGCACTGCATGTCAAACCAGTAGTTCTCCACGTCCTGCATGGAGTCCAGCACGTAGAGGCGCCTTTCGAAGGGCCGGCTGCTGTGGGCCAGGTTGTAATGCGGGTCGCAGATGGTGGTGTCCACAATGACGGCGTTCTTCTTCAGGTAGATAAAGACCTACCAGAGAGGTGCGGGCCGGGAGCCAGAGTCAGCAACACCACCATGGGCTTGGCATGCCGTCACTGACCGTCAGGAGGTCTGCCATGGGAGACGTTACCTGATCTTTATCCTGAAACTTCTCTGTGGGACCGAACTGCACCAGCCCCATGTAGCACAGCCTCTGCAGGCTCTCTATGACCGAGAAGACGTAGCGCCTGCAAAACACGGGGAGCGGTGGGCTCCGGTTACGCCACGATCCCCTCTCAGGGCGCCGTGCCTGGGGCAAGGGATGCGACTCCTCCCCCCACCCCCACCCCCACCCCCACCCCTCCCACCCGTGGTCTGGAAGGCTGCCTGGCCCCGAAGCCCAGCGCCAGCCCGTCTCGTGCCCAGGGGGGCAGGTCGGCATGAGATCAGCTTTAGGAGGCAGACGGCTTTAAAGGAAAGAGCACTCCAACACCTGCAGCCTTGCAGAGAGCCAGCCTATCCTCACTTGTCCCTGTCCTTCACGGATGAAGGTGCCCGGTGCCCAGCGGTGGGAGGGTGAATGTCTTTCCCCCACCTGGGAAGCAGTAGCCTTTCTCTGCTGCAGGAGCCCCCAGAGGCTGGGGGCTGAGGGGCCGGGAGTGGGGGGGGGCAGACAACGGGATTCCCATGCCCGGGCGTCCCCTCACCTCTTGTACAGAAGCTGCTGCCGGATGGACCTGGGGAGAAAGCGGATCAGCGTGTGCTTCTTCAGAGGGTCGTTCAGAAAGTCCTCCAGGCCTTCCACCTACGGGCGAGTTCAGGCTCAGCTCATGCGGAGGCCAGGGCGAGTGTACGAATCGTGATCCAGCACCCACCACCATTTCCCCAACAGCTGGCCTGTCAGCCTAATGCGGACGGCTCTGCTCTCACCTGCCCCTAAACCAGTCACCCCTCCTGTCCAGCCCACCCCACCCTGCAGGGCTAACAGGCAGGGGGCCCAGCTTGCCACTGCTGGGCATATACATGCTGACATTTTGGGGGAGCAATGCCCTTATTCACATTTTAAAAATTAAGAGCACTCCTTCTCTTTAAAGCTCATGATTCTACTGTTCTTATCCTAAGGGAGAAAGTGAGGAGCTGCTTGCAAAAGACTAGCAACAGTGTCCACTAGCACGTCATTCCTAACATCAGGGAACGTCGATGTCCAAAAAGAGAGCCAACAGAGGGTACGGGTTAGAGGAGTTCTAGGAACCTGTTCAAATGTAAACATGAATGATGTGGAACCATGGCACATTGTTTTGTGGATAGACAGGTAACAAAAGAACCAATAGGGTATAGTCTCAATTCAAGTTGTTTTTTTTAAAGAGAGAGCGTACACACACAACACACACAGGCACACAAATACAAAGACTAGAAAAAACTGTACCAAAGAGGTTAGCAGCGCTTCTTTCTCTGAGCGACGAGAATGAGTTTACCAGACCCGGGAGAGCAACGTGCTCGTCATTCCACTACATGCATCAGTGACTCCGTCTACCTACCTGGCTCCTGCCCCGCACCCATCTCATTATCTGCAAGAACAAGTCTCAGTCTTTTCAGGTATGCTTCCTTGCAAACACCTGTCCACCATCCAAGCCACCCAGGTATTCCCCTTGACTCCAGGGCCCCGACGCCTCGAGTACCTTGTAGCAGACCTGCACGATCTGCACGAAGATGGAGAGGGGCAGGCGGAGGAGAATGTCGCTGACGAGGGCCCAGCCGAAGCCGAAGTCTCTGTGCACTGGGATGGGGGGCACGAAGCGCATCCACGAGGATTCTTCTACATATACTAGGAAAAGGTCAGCATCAGTCCCAGCAGGGACGTCCTCCTTGGACCGCACCGCTCTCCGGTCCCTCGGGAAGGAGGGGCACACGGGCGCCCAGAGGCTCAGGTGTGTGTTTCAGCCGGTGGGCATGAGGCTAAGGGGCAAGTGTTTCTCGGTGGTGCAGCCAGGGCGAGCAAGGGTAGCTCACCTGCCTCTGGGGTGAGCTCCCCTCCGGACTCGAAGGTGGAGCTGTCCTCGTTGTCTCTGGACGGGCCATCGGAGGAGGCCTCTGAGTCATTTGCAGGTTCCGGCTTCCCCGGTCTCCTCTCCCCGTGGAGGCCCGGCTTCTCCATGTTGGGGGGAGGGTGCCCGTAGATCAGGTACCACAGGAACATATGCACGACCCGCAGGCGGGGCATTTTGGGCAGGAAGCCCAACGAACGTCCCAGTCCAGGAACTGAGGCAAGAGGAAGCATGAGAACCCTCAGGGGCAGCAGGGACCAGACACACACATGCCCTCCCTCACGGACAGCGCTTTTCCGTGGGAGAGGACAGGCAGTGGGACACACTGCCAGAGGGAGAGCTGGTAAGCAGGAAGGCTGCGCAAAGAAGGGAGAGAAAGGCAGGAACGATGGAGAGAGGGCAGGGCAGACCTCACTGTGAAGCCCCACGGCCAAGGCCGGAGCGGGTCACGTGGACACAGATGCCCGCAGCGGTGTGAGCTGGGCTGCGGAGGGAGCACCAGGCGCTGGTGACGCGCAGAGGGCCTGACACCCACAGGCGCTTGACGGGGGCTGTGAAAAGCCCCCCAAGTCTAGGCTCTGTGAAAGTTAGCTTTGTTCTTGGTGGAGTAGAAAAAGCTCTCCTCTGTTCTCCCCAGGGAGAGGGGACAGGTAGACATGGCAAGCTGGACAGGTAGACATGGCAAGCTGGCGGGAACTCCTGCCACCAGAGGCCCCTTCCCCTCCCCTGTCCTGGCCGGCCTGAGGGCCAGAGGGCTGCTGGCTCTGTGCAGAGCATGTGCTGCTGGGCGGTGTCCCCATGCTCACTGTAAATCCCAGAGGGCGAAGGCCAGACAGGCACACAAATCAATCACCCCTGCAATCTGGGCCGCACCACAGCAAGGGGCTTGACCGAGGTCGGAGGTCCACGAGCCAGGCCTGCCCTCCTCCGTGTGTACCCAGGAAGCAGAGCACGGGTGAGCCCCCTTCTGTCAGCCATGGCAGCCCTGCTGGGGGCTGGAGACTAGTACCCAGCACACTTCTGGGTGGGGCTCTCTGCAGCCTGGGAGGCATTCTGTGGACATCAGCTGAGGCAGCAATGGCGTGACACCCCTCCCCAACCCCTTGCCCTCTGTGGTAGACCAATGGCAGTCAGACCCAACTCTCCGGACTGTAGCCTGGTGCTCGAATGTAGGCTGCCAGGCACCACCAGTATGCCCACTCCAGCACGGGCACTACATCAAGCAGGTGCTATGGGGACAAGGCCTCTTACCTACGACAGGGTGGTAATCTTTGAGTGTGCCCATGCCCATATTCTCTTCGGGTTTCTTATTCCGCCCATTGTCAGCTTTAGAGGATGCGCCCGAGTGAGGGTATCCGGACCCACTGGGGCCTTCTTTCCCCTGACTCTCGTCGTCGGCCTCCCCTTGTGACGCTGTAGGTGGGACCACTTTAATCCTGCAGTTGAAACACCGCACGTGGTGACACAGTGAGAGGAAGGGCAGGGGCTGCGATGGGAACGGGACAGAGCCATCTGGCCCCGGGGTCTCACACTCAAAGGCTGGGCAGACGACGGAAAGGATAACTAAGATCCGGGTCACTAGCCATATGGGTGGGGACCCTCCCCTGGGGAGCAGCGGCTACCTTCTGAGACAAGAAGCCCTCGCTGTGGGGTCTGCTGGCATGTCAGTAAACACCAGAAAGGAGGACCTCCCTGCAAGCCCCCACCCCGCTAAACCCACCCCAAACCCACAGCAGAAGTCCCAGCTTTCAACTGCCCACCCAATGGTTGGCAGCCGAGCACTTAAGCACCGCACCACCAGGGCTCCTCACAGGCAGCCCAGTGGAGGGCAAACCACACCGGCTGACAGCTACAGGCCAGCACCAGCCCCGCTGGCTTAGCCACAGCCAAGGATGCTCTCCCAAGCCCGGGTTTCCTCTGAAGCCTAAAGGTGGTTTAGGGACTGAACCCGAGACCACCTCAGGGAGGCAGCTGGTCACACAGGGCCCAAGAGCAGAGACTGGGGTGCTCTGTCTACAGGCTCCCCACGGAAAGACTCGAGAATGGGTACAGAAGCCAAGCCTCGATCCTTGTTCGGATTCAGGGAGCAGGGATCACAAACCCTGTCTCGATGGAGTCACTGATCTCGCACAGGCTGAATAAAGGGGGCTGTTTTCGCAAAGGCTGGAGGAGGGAGACGGCTGGACTCTGCTACTTGCCTGGTCGCTGTGCTGGAGTTGGAGATCCGGAAACGGACCTGCTCGATGGCGCTCTTCACCAGCGGGTCATTCTGGTCCATGGACGGGTGCACTACCAGCTCCACCTGCAGAGACCAGTGTGTGCAGAGAGCAGGGCCCGAGCTGAGAGGTGGGGCATGTGGTGCCCATTTTCTCAGTGTTTCCAACAGCTACTAAACAGCTGGCATCAGAAACCCTCAAGCGACGGAGTGAGTGAGCGAGTGAGCGAGCGACGTGGGATGGGTTGTAAAGCTCTGCTAGAGCCAGGTTTCTGCTCTGGCAGGGTGGGGGTGGCCAGCAGCGCTTCGCAGATGGCCATGGTTCCTGGGGCTCTGAGGCTGCCCGGAGCACTGCTCCTGCAGATAATCCCCATAGCCACACGGGAATCCAAGGACTTGCATTAAGCTCCTCTCAGGGAGCGTGCTGTCTAGGGACTCCTGCAGAGGGTAGAGAGCTACCTCTCCCAGGTCCCAAAGCTGAACACTGAAGGCGATCCTGCCGAGGAGGAGGGCGTGCAGGATGGAAAAGGGCAACTCCTTGGCAGGGGATGGCTTCCACCTCCTGCACAGAGTGGGGTCTCAACAGAAACACTGTGCATCAGACAGTGGACGGCAGAGCCTGAGGCCCCTCCTCAGAAGGCAGGCAGGCTCCACAAGGACTCTATGAAGCCAGCTCAGTCCCTTGGGCCTGTCATTTCTGAAGTGGGGACTTGCATCCTGCCTCACCAACATTTTTGTGGTTCTCTGAGGCTCCAGCAAGACACAGTTAGGCAATAACTCTGAGAACGGAAGGAAAACACAGCCTTCTCATCTCCTCGAGCATCCTAGCCTGGCAGGCGGCGGGGCGGGGCGCAGAGGCACCCAGGGCTGTTGTGGGAAGCACATGTGCAACCTGCAGCCCTTTCCAGATGGAGAGGTGGGCTCTGCAGCGGGGGCAGGAGGTCCTGACACCAGGCTCCTTGGGATCTGAAGTCATTTGGTCCATCTGCACATGGGTTCCCCTCCCAGGCCCAGCCTGGTGGGCACAGAGCCACAAGGAGCTATAAGACACAGCTGGCAGCGACGCCACAGCACCCTGCCCCCACTCCCTGCCCATTCCTCAACCGGGAGAGGTTTTCCCCGCTGACTATCCCCTGAGAGGTCTGCAAGTCCAAGAGCCGGCCTCCCAGAGGTCTCTGCAGACCAGCAGGAGCCAACGGAGGTGCTGCTGCCGCTGACAGCTCGGCCTTTTCCTGTCCTCTGATGCGAGAATGGAGCCCAGGGTGCTCAAAGGGACGAGAGGCAAGCTGCAGGGGGACAGACAGGGTCAAGGGGGCTTCATCATGGCAGCTTAGAAAGACGGAAGGACCAGGCAGACATAGAGAGCTGTCAACTCGGAAACTCAGACATAAGGTTTAAATCTTTTTCTTTGTAAAGTGTTCAGAATTTTAAACACTTCTCTAAAAATAAGAGAAGGTTGAAAGGAAAGAAAGGAGGGAACAAAAAGGCTTGACTTTGCCAGGTGGTTAGCAAACAACTCAGCAGAGCGGGGCTCTCTCACGGCAGGGTCTAGAATGCAGTCAGAAAAACGGCGAGAAGTCCATGTGACTGCTCCAAAGGGCCCGCCCCTAGGGTCTCAGCCCAGCTGCTCGACTTCCAGCAACTCTGACCCCAATACACGTGCTGCGGAGGGAGACGTACTGCTGGGCAATGGCCCTCGGCTGCGACGTTCACAGAGAAAGTCAACCAGCTGACAGAGGCCCGGCCAGGCTTCCCAGGTGGGTTGCCACCATCGTCTCCTCTGGGTTAGATCTCAGATCTGCTCGGAGACGTCCTGGCGGCTCTGTCTCAAATCTTCCACCTGCTATGTGCTGCCGGCCTACCGGGCACCCCGCTCCTTCCGCTCCTTCACCCCCCAGGGGAGGCGATCAAGAGAAAAGCGGCTCCTATGCTCCCAGCTTCCTCACAAAAGGGGGAGAGCTCTGGCCCCCAAATTAGGAAGCATAACAGAAAACTCTTGAGTTTCCGGCCGCAAAGGAACACTGGGATACAGTGACAGCAGGGGGCTGTCTTGACAGGGTCAGGCCAGGCTGTGGGGAGGTGTCAGGAGAGGCCTGGTTTACCTTCTTCTTGATGCCGTCCTGAACGACTGTGGTTCGGAACAGCCTTAAGAGCCCTTCCTCGGACAGGTTCTGCACCAAGCGGACAATAGACTTCTTACAACACTTAGTGGACACTCCTTCTTGCTTCTCCTGATCCATGATCATTTTCTGAATCCTAGGAAGGCCACAAAATAAGCAGTGGTCAATATAGCCAGCTTCAACATGGAAGGCCGTTCTCAACCTTGACAATGGAGCCGGGGTCCAGCTGACAGGAGGGGGGAACTGAACGGTGAGCCTCTGGAAACATGAGAACTCCCTATGGGGTGATGTAGCCAACAGCAGGCAATTGTTCACATCCTGAGTCTGGCACCAGGAACTAGAGGGGCTACAGGGTTTGATTTGTGACCCGGGGGCAGGGGAAACCCAGCTCCATGATGGAAACACATCTACACGAGTCTCTGATCTGAATTTCTGTTGATTCCTCTCCTGAGATAGCTGCCCTACTGGAGTCACGTTGACCCTATTTCCAGATCACAGATGGCAGACTGGCAGAGCTGGAAAGCACATTAAGAATGACCTGTCAAGGTGTGAGTGGCAAAACAGCGAGGGTAAAGGGAGAATGGGTAGGAAAGAGGGAACCGATTACATGGAACTGTATGTGACCTCCTCCCTGGGGGACAGACAACCGAAAAGTGGATGAAGGGAGATGTCGGACAGGGCAAGATATGACAAAATACCCATTTATAAAC